TTAGAAATTTAATAACTAAGTCACAATGCAATTAAATAAAACAATAATTAACAGCATGTCTTTGTATCAACTTTTCTACATTCAAATTAATAGGATGAAAGTCCAAATATCAAAGCAGAATTACACTGTAAAAATAGCCCAACAAATAACTGAGTGCTCAATCATAACTCATGAAGATATGTTAGGATCAAAAATTTTGAGAATAACCCAAGGTTATAAATTAGGGTGCAAATGCTTTGACAAAAGCATAATTCTAGATCCAATTTGGGTTTGAATAACAGAGTCAGGTATTAATGACATGGATGTTAATACTCAATTATCCAAAGAATTTGCTTTATCTTAAATTAAATTGTAATACCTTTTTTCAGAAAAATGTACTACATGATTGCTCATTCTTTCCGCTGTTTGGTTGAGACATTCTATAAGCTGTTCCTGCTCCTCCAACCATTTCTGTTCCCTTTGAAGATAATGTGAGAAGCATAAATAGCTAGTTCAGATTTTTCAGAATTGCAAAACAGTTTCAGCACAATCTATACCTTATAAAATCTTCCTTTAGTTTTTTGTTCTTTGCATTAACTGTTGATAGCACCATTTCAAGTTCGTGGTCTAATTTCTGCAACTAAAAACAAAAGAATTGTATTCTAAATTGAATTCTAAATTGAAAATGGAAGAAATTACATCCATACAGAGAAAGGATGCTTTTTAAAAATGATTTCTGTCCGGTATTCTGGGATACATTATTGACTTTTTAATGTAAATATTCTGATTTAATTCAGGATAAAATATTGTGTAATTTTTATTTTATGAATCCATATAGCCAAATGAAACAGTGAACAATAACATAATGAAATCATAGCCAGCTCTTTCTGATATTTCCTGAATGAGGGACTGAGAGGCAGCAGAACCATCATAATAACTGTAAAAGGTAATGGACATAATGGGCGTGGAAGGTAGAGATATTGACTGAAGAACAAGTCTGCGGTCTATATTCCATCTACTTCTGGGGCTTCTTTATAAGATGAATGCCATGTCAACTAACCTAGAGGTGCTAATTATTGGACTTTATTCAAGAACAATGGGCTAACTTGGCTTGCTGAGACTAGGTGGGATACAATCTCTTTTAGGTATTTGAACTGACAAATCATGAGCAGCACCAAACTTTACTTTCAGAACAGATATGTTGAGTGGCCAGCAGTTGACCAGCTTGATCGTTGCTACTGGCACTGCCACTGCCTTGCTCAGGTTTCTCTGAGCAAGGCAGCGGTGAGTCACACTCACTCACTCACACTCTCTCTCTCTCACACACACACACAAACACACATTTCAGTTTTAGCTCAACTTTCAGCTTATCTTGGAGAAGACTCAAAGAAACAGGTCAGTGAGCTTAGAATCTTTATTGTGGATTAACAACTAATTGCCCAGCACAGTGAAAAGATACAGGGATTTAAAATTGTTGTACAAGTAACTCTGCAGACATAATATCGCTGCAATGTTTCTCATATGACATCCTAGTGAGCAACGTAAATAGTTGCTTCAGGTGGGCAGCAAAAATTAGAATTTTATTTCAAATTCAACATCCTGACTTTAATCATAATTACAATTTCTTAACCTGCTGCCTTCCATATGTTGGACTTTATCTACAATCCTATATTAAGATGATCAAAATTTTCTAGATCCATCTTAACACGCTACAATTACTTAATTCTAATTGATATTTTTTACCACATCTCATAATATATAGCATATTTGTTTAAACAAGTGTCCATAGTGGACTGCTTCTTAGCGAAACTTAGCCATAGATTCCTACAATTACTCCTAAAATTATAATTTTACAAAGTTACAGCCATCTCATTAACATACATACCTGTTCTTTTCCTAATTCTACCAGGACATCTGGATTTGTAGTAATTACTGAAAAAGAGAATATGTCAGATTTTTAAAATGTTTTTGAAACTTATTTATGTGTCTGTCTACCTGTCCAACCAACCATGCATCCATCCAGTCATTGTTGACTCCTGAGATTGCCTGTAGTTATTGTGGTTTTCTTAAAAAGATTTTTTTTTTTGGAAGTGGCTTGCCATTGCTTCATAAGCAGGAGAGAGGGTGACTGGCCTAAAGTCACCCAGCTGGCTTTGTGCCTAAAGCAGGCCTAAAACTCTTGATTTCTACTCTGATGTCTTAACAATTCTACCAAAATATTATTACTCTGATTGAATCAATAACTTCTTGTTACATTAGTACCTACTAGTACATACAATAGTTATTCAGTTAAATATGAATTTATGTATTTATATTTATGCAAAAACAGTTGAACAAAACAACAGAATAAATCTATAATATTTATTAATATTGGCCAACATGTGATACAATATGATACAACAGATAAAAGCTATGGCACTAATGTAGTACAATTATTATATATTCTGTAGAAGGTACAAATGTATATTCTATACTTCAGGTTTTATGACTTTGTATTCAATCCAAATTAAAAAAAAACTTACTTTCTGGCTCTCTTTTCTGCCATTGGTTAAATTCAGCTGACAGAGCCTTGAATCGTTTTGTTAACAACGAAAGCTGTCAAACATGGCAAAATTTAAACATTATTTCAATATGTATTTATTTTTATTTATTTATGAAATTTGTAGATCACCCATCTTTTTATCAAACAATTCTGGTTGTATATTTTTATATACAATGCTTGAAATAAAGTTTCAAAACTACCCCACTTGAAATATGAGACCGAGAATCATAATTTCCCCCATAGTATTCATGTTCAGGCAAAATCTATGTTCTCAGAACAAAGTTAAAATATACTTGCATAAACTTTACAGCCCTTCATGTATTGCTAAACTACAATTTCAGCAGCATATTAATATGATGCTTGGAACTTAGCAGAATCAGAATCCTAGAATTAGATTAGATAGTACTCCCTCTTTTTGCTTTTTTCTCATGACAACCACCTTATAAGGTAGGTTGGGCTATAAGAGTCCTAAGTCACACAATATTTTGTGGATGACAATGAACCAAAATTTCCTGCTGGTAATCCAAAACCTTCACTATCATACCATGCTGTCAATGTATTATACTGTGAAGTTCCATTTTAACCAATGAAACAAATTTTGCAAAATTTCCACAGTAATTTACGAATTTGCATCAATGGTAAATTCAATCCCTATTGCCCTACTTTCTGACATTCTTGAGTATCAGAAATCCCATCTCCCCAATTAGCCTTCTGACAATGTTTCATAGCTTAGGAAACATCTGAGACTTTACTCTTACCTTGAGATCTGAAACTGGAAGAGTTTCAACACTTTGAAGAGATAATTTAGTATGGCACTTCAAAGGACAAAAGGATATAAAAAAATTAAATGTAAGCTTATAGTAATAAAGCATATTCTTAATTCCACTTAAAAGGTTTATTAAAGATACAGATCTGTTTGATTGATGATTTATCTCTTATAGAGATTAAACACAAAACATTTTTAGATTAATCGTGTCTAAGTATTTAGTAAATAAATTGATTTATTTTATGTAATGCTTATAGTTTTAAAAATATTCCTAATATTAAAATAACTTTAAGATACAATCCACCTCTATTTATAATTTATCCCATGCCATTATGTTAAAAATAATGTGAGAACTAACACTTTGGTTTTTCGGGAATGTTTCTTTGTATCTTAAAGTTAATGATTTTCTGTAATGATAGTAAAGTTCATCTTTCTGCTTAGGCTGAGTAGGAAACAAGGAAATTAACAGCAAATATTCAGATGCATAGCTTCACTTATCTCATAAATACATGCAATTATTGCCTATTACCTCCTCCACTTGTTTCCATATTTCTTCACATTCTTCTATGAGTTGTTCTTTGGGATTTTCTGAATCTAATAACATGCTAGCTGGTCTTGGCACATCTTCCTTATCTGAAGAAAAGTTCTTGGCAAGTTTCTCAGCCTAGGAATGGTATTATTTGTATTTATTGCTTACATACATACATACATACATACATACATGCACTACCTGACTCTGTGGTTTCATCCCCAAAATTTTAACCTAAGACTGTCTACTGTTGACCTCACCCCATTCCTAAGAGGTCTGTAAGGGGCGTGCATAAGTGCACCAGCGTGCCTACAAAATCTGTCCTAATGTTCCCTTTATTTGTATTCATTTCATGTATTCAAATCATGTTTATAGTTATATATATTATCTAATATGTGCTTGACTGACTGAGTGACTAAATAAATAAATAAATAGTAACTAAAAGCAGGACATAAAACAGTTTAAGCAAAACCGGTGTACATATCAACAGTTGATACCTAAATATATATTTTACTTTATAACAAGTGTTTTTTTTAAAGAAAAAATAAAAAACCCAGGTACAAAAAACGCGCTAAAGAAGATAGATATTACAAAGAAAAATATAACCAATTATAAGCAATACTACTGCAGTCCTTTAGAGCAGGGATTAAGAACCTAGGGGCTGGATCATAAGCTTCCCCGCAGCCTCATCCCAAATGACCAGGGCTGCCAGATGTTGTTTAACAACATCTGGGACACCACACGTTCCCCTAACTCTAACCCCTAACCTTCCCGGACAGACAGCCGTTTCTCATTCTGTTGCAGTCCGTTGTTGAAACGGACGGAGGCGTTCGTGCCGCTTTACCGTTGCTCTATATTGGAGGTGGCGACCATGAGAGCTGTATGCAACTACCGGTAAATTTCATTTTAATATATGCCGATTAGTGTACGTTTAAAGTGACAAAAGTTATTCTAAGTCTAAGTCTTCTACCCGGAGACGCACCGCCTCCCAACCGACATTACCATAGCGATAGCTCCGCTCCTTCCTTCTGCCCCTTTTCGCCTCACGGGGAGCTCCGAACACTCGAGGACGTCCTCTGGCGTCCAAATCCGCGCGGGCTGCGTCCCCATTGGCCGCTCGAGAGGTTAGCGGGCGAAGGCGTAAGTACGTCACGACGGGCTGGCTCTCGGATGGGCCTCGGCGACTTACGTCAGATGACGTAAGGCAACATGGCGTCGGCGGAATGTGTTCGCAAAAGAAGGGCTCGAGAAGAGGAGGAGGAGGAAGAAGAAGAGAAGGAGGAGGAGAAGGAAGAAGAGAAGAAGGAGGTGTCTGAAAAGCATGAAGGGTCTGAGGAGGAAGGAGATAAAGACCAAGAGCGTTGGGTTGGGCCCTTACCTGGGGAGGCTGTGCAGGCGAAAAAGAGAAGAGGTAAAGGAGGACCAGGGACCAAGTCACTTGGTGGAGTTGAGTGGCTGTAGAAATGGAATAAATCAATAAAAATAAAAAAGTAATAATGACGCGATACAAATCTTATAAATAAAAATAAAATTAATCCGCAAGATTCAAGAGAAGAGAGAAGTACCTAGAGCCCCGTCAATCCTGACACTGTGATTCCAGACACTTTTTTCTCGGGGAATCCTCCTGCGATTAATGTTCTCTAATGCCAAGTACAGAATTGCAAGGTTGCAATCCCGTTGGGTTTCCTAGTCATTGTCTCTAAATCATAAGTTCCCACACGGCACAAATAGATTTAGAGCAGTTTTTTCTCAGTCTGGTGACTTTCCGATCTATGGATTTAAATTGATGTCTATTTCCTGGAAGCGGCAAGCCTGTATCTGTACACTTGTATCTATAAACCTTTAGGTTTCACATGATTAAATCCACCTATAGACCCACGCATATTATGGCATTTGTCAGTATTAGTACTGTTATAAAGATTACTATTTACTCTTATTATGGAGAGTTTGGTGTTATTTTTGCCACCGACAACACTGGGTGTATTCTTTGGTTTGTTAGTAAATGGACCAACACTTTTGATTGGTTTTAGGATTTGGTTAGATTTTTTGTAGCTTATTGTACATTGAGAACACCCCACCACTCCATGTGATTAGCTTGTTCTCTGAAATTCCACAATGCTATTTATTAGCTCTGCTACATGTCCTATTAAGACTATATTACCCCTACTTACCCTTTCCCTTTTTAAACTGATGTCAGGTTATTTAATTAACAGAGTGCCCAAACTCATCATTATTTTTCTTATAAAAGTTTGATTGCTTATTTATTAAATTTGTAAAGTCCTCAGACTTCCTAGCAATTTAGGTGCTGTACAATTTTAAAAATAAATTAACAATAATGAAAAAAATACTATGTTTTCTAGACAAAATGAAGCTAACACCTCTCAACATACAGTATATTCACCATAGATTCATCATTCAACCCAACCCAAAGCCGGGAGAGGGGGGCAAGTTTTAAGGCTTCATTTAAATAGGTCAGTTGGGGAACATATAAATCTCTGGAAGAATGCTTTTCCAAAGGAATTGTGACAGCAATTAATTTTGTGGGTCCCATTAAGTTGTGAAAAAGAGGCAAGAATGTTAGGTATGCTTGCTATCTTGAATTGACCAAAATACATTTTTAAAAAGGCAAAATAAAAATATAATCATTATCTAATTTCCATTTTTGTTGTCTAATCATTGATAAAATAAGCCCCATGTCATATAGTATTCAGTTCTTTCTCCTTAATTGCTAGTGTTAGTCTATTCATTTCTGCACATTCTAATATTTTCCTGATCACATTCTTATCTGTGGGGATCTCTTCACTTTTCCAATTTTGTGCAAATACAATTCTAGCTGCAGTTAATATATGAATAATTAAATATGCATTCCCCTTACTATATCTTTTGGGTAAAATTCCCAACAAGAATATTTCTGGCTTTAAATCAATATGCTGCTTTATCATTTTTTCCAGCCATGTATGTATTTTTGTCCAATATTTTTTTGCTTTTGAGCATGTCCACCACATATGATAATATGACCCAGTTGTTAAATTTTGCTTTAAATCAAATCTAAGTGAAGCATTTTAATTAAAAATATTTCTTATTTTCTTCATAGTTCTTGAGTTTGAACATGTCTACCTTGATAATCTTCCCAGTGCTTCAATGTATGAGCGTAGTTATATGCACAGAGACGTCATTACTCATGTAGTATGTTCTAAGTAAGTCTAATTTTTTTTTACTAATGTAATGTTAAATTGTATATCTCTTTCAGAAAGTGTTTTTTGCTTAAAAGTTAAGATGTACTATTTAGCTTCAACGTGGTTAGCTGAATCCTTCTTCAAATTCTGTGGAACAGTTTCTGAATCGTGCACTAGAATAATTATTTGGGGTAAATCCATATCATAATCCAGAGTTACAGACTCAGTAGAAGGCTTAATCCAAATTGTGTGACATATTCTGAAAGAATTAATGATCTTAGGCAGTTTGATGTAAAATGGCAAGGCTTCTCTCAAAAATGGTACCTTGCACTCCTTTCCTTTTGTTCTAGATCCTTGCTCAAGTTTTACAGTTTTATCATTCTAAGATCTGAAGTGTGTCTTAAACATCAGTGTGTAAAACTGGGGAAGTACAACACCTTTTAGCGCATTGGGATCTTTAGATCTAGCCTTTATTTCTTTCATATGATTGTATTTGCAGAACAGATTTCATAATAACAGCCAGCCATGATGGACATGTCAAATTCTGGAAGAAGGTAGAAGAAGGAATTGAATTTGTTAAACATTTTCGTAGCCATTTAGGTAAATTATTGTGTATCTGCATAGTATAATTTTTATATTGCCTATTTTTCTTTCTTTGTTCTCTGATCTATTAAATATAAATTTTCAATATTAAATGTTACTATAGAGATACGTGTCAGTCTTAACTAATTTTAAGCTTTTTGTTGGAGAGCAGTCTGTCTCTTGAGTTACATTATTCAGCAGAAGCAGGCAAAAATTAATACAACAATTCTAGTAAGGGATTGGAAAGATTACATTCTGCAAAATACAGACATCTGAGAATTTTCTTTTGAACGTCTCAGAATCATAAAGAAAGCACCTCTGAAAACTGGCTTTTCAGGACTGTGTTTGAAGCCATGCTGTGATATCAGAAAACTACAGTGGCCCTCAGATCTTCATCTATTGTGATCTTTGGATACTTGCCATAGAGCAATATCCTACAAAGATCTATTCAAAAGTTTAATAGGAAGTGTTCTGAGGTCGTTTTTATACGATTATAGCCATCTTTGAATATTTATCATGCAACTCATTTTTAATCATTTTGTTCAAACATTTTCTCAAACGAAAGTTATTTTTTTTAACCACAATAGGTGTTATCGAAGGCATTGCAACCAGCTCAGAAGGGGCGCTCTTCTGCTCTGTTGGGGATGATAAAGCAATGAAAGTTTTTGATGTGGTGAACTTCGACATGATCAATATGTTGAAACTTGGGTAAATCACTTAATATTTGCAATTATACTGGTTTGATTACCAAGTGTTTTAAAATATTTTTGCCTAAAATATCATTAGAAATTGATGGATGACTAATTAACTCTTTTCGGTGTATCTCAAGTCAGATTGCACAAAATCACAGGCAATATACTATTGCAATGCTCTCTACATGGGGCTCCCCTTGGGGTGCACCCGGAGGCTCCAGCTGGTTCAGAATGCGGCCGCGCGGGGGATTATGGGAGTGATGGGTCGCTCCCATGTGACACCTCTCCTGCGCGAGCTGCACTGGCTCCCGGTGGTCTTCCGGGTGCGCTTCAAGGTGTTTAAAGCGCTCCATGGCTTAGGGCTGGGGTATCTACGAGACCGCCTTCTGCCGCAAATAGCCTCCCACCGGCCAGTACGTTCGCACAGAGAGGGCCTCCTCAGGGTGCTGTCCGCCAGACAATGTCGGCTGGCGACCCCCAGGGGGAGAGCCTTCTCTGTGGCGGTATCCGCTCTCTGGAACGACCTCTCCCTAGAGATACACACGATACCAGACCTCCGGACTTTTCGTCGGGCCCTGAAAATTCATTTATTTCACCTAGCCGGGCTGGCTTGATCCCATCCGTTTCAGTTTTAAATTTGAAATTGGTTTTAATTGGGTTGTTTTAAATTGTGGGCCGAAATTATTTAATTACCTTTTAAACTGTTTTTTAAATTTTGTATGCTCTGTTTTATCTTGGCTGTTCACCGCCCTGAGTCCTGCTGGAGAAGGGCAGTATACAAATAAAATCAAATCAAATCAATAAATATATTGTTATTATGGATTTAATTAGACATTTATGGTAGCCAAAGCATTAAAGTAGGTTTAATTATTTGCATTATTGTGCCAGTGGAAGGGAAAAAGCTATACATAATTGTGCATTTTAGAAAACCATGACCGTCAAAAGCAAAGATGCTTACTTTGGTGAGTGTCTATGGAGATTCTCAGTCCTCCGGGTCATGGTTGTTCCAAAGGTGCTTTTTTCAAGAGACAGTTGGACTTTTTGGTTTTTCTTTGAAGACGTTTCGCTTCTTATCCAACATGTTTCTTCAGCTCTGACTGGATGGTGGGGATTTTACTTTGGTGAGCTTACCAGCACTTCTGAATATATCCAGAGTTGGACTGCTTTAAGGATAAAATGAATAGCAGGATATACATTGAATGGTTTAGTAACTAATAAATATTATTACAAATGAGGCTGTAGTGTATTGTACTTTAGAAATACATTAATTTTTCTGTACGTTTTGATCCTTATAGTTTTTAAAATTTGTTTTGGAATGTTAAAAGGAGTCCTAATATTATTCCATCTCATTCATTCTAGCTACCATCCGGGTCAGTGTGAGTGGGTCTATTGCCCGGGTGATGCTATCTCTTCAGTTGCAGCCTCTGAGAAGAGTACTGGAAAAATATTTATATATGATGGTCGAGGCAATAATCAGCCGCTTCACATTTTTGATAAACTACATACATCCCCTCTTACTCAGATACGGCTGAATTCTGTTTTTAAAATCATAGTATCTTCTGACAAGTCTGGAATGATTGAATATTGGACTGGTCCTTCCCATGAATATAAATTTCCTAAAAACGTGAATTGGGAATATAAAACAGATACCGATTTATATGAGTTTGCAAAATGTAAAGCCTACCTAACCAGTATGAGTTTCTCTTCTGATGGCAAAAAAATGGCTACTATTGGCTCTGATAGAAAAGTCCGGATTTTCAGATTCTTAACAGGAAAGCTTATGCGAGTCTTCGATGAATCTTTGAGTGTAAGTATTTTTTTTTCTTATATTTATTCACTTTCCAATAGTTTTCTTTTAATCCTTTCAGTGATGAGATTATCTGTATTTGATTATAAGAATTCTTTTGTAAGAAATGGATTTTCATTTTCATATTTAGCCTGTAGCAGTTTTGTGTTAACTGGTATGTTAATAAGAAAATGCCACCATTTGGCTCCATTTTCTTTTACATACTTTAGTGTGGATTACTAGATTGAAGTAAAGATTCTAATAACTAATGCTGTTTGTTATATTTAACACTTTGTAACAAACTTTACAGAAAGTTTAAATCATAAAATAATTGAGTTGGATGTAATCTTAGGGGGCATTTAATCCAGGCCATAGTTCAATGCAAAATTCATGCAAAGAATTTCTTTAAAAGATTAATTTATTTTCTAAGGGGTTTTCCCCCTGCTAGGCAGTTTTAATTCTTTGATTAACAAGAATAATACAATTCAGTATGTGAGCTGCTACATAGCAAGATTCAATAAAAAACAAAATAATTAAAACTAATACGGAAATAGTAATTTCACCGTCAACTCCCTCCAGAAATTATTAAAATAAAATAGTACTGTCACAGTTCTATTACTATGATAGTATTAAACATACTGATGATAGTTCTTAACTAAATGGCCTTCTAAACAACTCAAGCTTTCTTAAAACTCAAGCCTATGGGGCCATTTGGACTTCAGTTTGAAGGCTGGTTTATAAGTAGGCACCACTACTGAGAAACAAGAGACTCAATATGGACCTCACATAATATGCAATTATGAAAAAACTCACATTAAATAATTCTATATTTTTAAAATATAAAATGTATGTATATTATCTCTCATACTGAAATTTTATGCTTCAAGGGCAGTCTGGGCATGCAGTTAATGGCAATAAATAAATGGATTGAAAGTATTGAATTAGCAGTAATATTTCACAATTATGCTTGTTTGATTATATTAATTGCAAGTCATTTTATTGTAGTGTTTATGGAAACAGTACAATATCCTTGATGGTGTTAGGCATTAATAAAATGGATAATATGCTAAAGCTCAGGTAGATTACCTTTTTCTAATGGCTAAATGTCATGTTTTAGATGTTTACTGAGCTACAGCAGATGAGACAGCAACTCCCTGATATGGAATTTGGACGACGTATGGCTGTGGAGAGGGAATTGGAAAAGGTGGATGCTGTAAGGTTAATTAACATCATTTTTGATGAAACTGGACATTTTGTGCTCTATGGGACAATGTTGGGAATTAAAGTCATCAACGTGGAAACAAATCGGTAAGTTGAAATTTTGGTTATTTAATTGCAACTAGCATATTTTGTAATGTTAGGAAATTTTAAGGAGATCTTAAAAGCATTCAACCTCAGCATTCTTATTTTATTTAACAGTTTCAATTTTGTGTTTGATATAAATATTGCCTCACTTAAACACTGCAAACCAGAATTCTGGAGAATGTTGTCTTATCAAACATAAATGTGTACATTTTAAATAATTACTATAGAAAAAATAACTAAAAAAGAACAAAACAGAACAGAAAATTTAAAAAAAGAAAGTGTATCATGTAAAAAAGTTATTCAGCCATTTTAAACATATTATTAAACCTTGACCATTTGGAATAATATCAGTCTTTTCATTACACTGATAAAGAGCTGGTTAATAAACACAAAGTGATCATAGATTATGACTTAAGTTGTTTACAACTCTTATAAATAGAATTGCACTGTCTTTTTAGCATTAAAGAGTATTATTTTGCTGTGTCTCCTGCTTGATAAATCTTTACTTCTTTATATATATGGCTATATATAAGGTACATTTGTGTAATCACATCTTTAAAATGTTTTGATCTTCATGATACCATATTTAAAAATGTGTGGAAATTAAAGCAAAATGAAGAAATATTTAGACAAGCTTATATGATCTCTAAAATAATGCGTTTCACAGCCAACTGTTTTAAATCATCGCTGAGTTATTGAATAAACATAAAAGACAATATTTTATTTAATTAGTTTTATCTTACAATAATAAGAAATGTATTATTTAAAACCCTTTGCCACTGATTTTGAAAAGATGGATATTTCAGTTATTTCAAAGTTCTTGTAAATAGCTGATATCTACCTTAGTGATATTGTTTAATTGTTTATAAAATATATTGTAGATTTAGAAGTATTTAAAACCCATTCTAATGCCATCAATGATTTGGGAGTTTTAGCTATGCAAATGCTAATGTTAATTGAATAAAACAGAGTTGCTATTGGGTGGTATTAGGTAATCAAATTCTTCTTGCAGTAATTTCATTGGTTGAAAATTAATAGATATTAATATTTCTATTTGCCCAAGACTTAGAAAAGAGATGACTTTGTAATTTTCAGAGTGGGATTATATGTATGTTTTCCTTATGAATGAAGTCTGAAATTACATTTCCCTCCCAAATTTTCCAGATATGGCTGATAATCCTTAGTGAAGAAAATGCAATAGAACTATTGCTAAAATTAGAACCAAGTCCTTGCCATAATTAAAAGAAGTATATAATAACTTTCTTACTGTGCTTATAAATGCTCTTATTTTTTTGGACACTTGCATTCCATAGAATATTTTGAAGTCAAAATATATGAATTGAAAGTCATTAAAATTAAAATCTTAATTATATCTAATTATATGTTAATTATAATTTAGTTACATAAAAATTGGAGGGTGGAGGGGTATTATTCTTTTAGATTTTCATGGGGGTGGGGGTGAATTGCACTTCTCATTCTTCCAAAAACAAAACAAACAAAACCCATAGGTGTGTAGGTATGCATCAGTGTTTGGAGGATCCAATGTGAGAAGGCTGGAGGGAGGGCACGTAGTGAAGGAAACAGGTTCATGGAGTAAAATGGCTACCACGTCAGACTCTGATTTTCATTTCTGCTATGTATATTCAAAGGACACTGGACATGATGAAATATGTATTTATTTATTTGATAAATTTATATAGCCACTCATCTGACATACATTACTCTTGGCGGTAAACAAATTATTAAAGAATAAGTAGAACAAATAGTAAAGAACATAACAAAAAATATTAAAATATTAAAAGCAGTAAAACCAGTGAAATCATAAATATAATATGCAGAAGAGCACAGTCAGTTTTCCCTAACAATATACCATCTTAGAGATTACATACTCACATTACTGGATACCTAGGCAGATGACAAAGCCATGTTTTCAGGCCTTTCTAGAAGGTTATCAAAGTCAGGGCCAATCTGACCTTAGGGGGAATTAGGTTCCAAAAGATGGGTGTCCCTGCAGAAAGGTTCTCCTCCTGGGTCCTGTCAGATGACATTCCTTCATGAATGGGACCCACAACACATCCTTCTTGCCAGACCTGAGTTAAAGCAATATTTTGTGCTATGTTGTTGATTCAAGAGTAAAGATTGCATGATGAATTAGAAACTTAATGGTGATCCTAGATTTTACTTTCTAAATATAGATGTGTGAGAATCCTAGGTAAACAGGAGAATATCAGAGTTATGCAACTGGCTCTGTTCCAGGGAGTGGCAAAGAAACATCGTGCTGCTGTTACCGTTGAGATGAAAGCATCTGACAATCCAGTTCTCCAGAACATCCAAGCAGATCCAACAATAATCTGTACTGCCTTTAAAAAGAACAGATTTTATGTGGTATGTTTTATTTTTTAATTTATTGCTTTATGTATTGCTGTAATTTCTAAGGAAAGCCAGGACTTAATAATAGAAGTATAAGAAATACAATTATACTCTCAAATCCATGTTAACTCCTGGTGATTGTTTAGACAAGTCCTCGTCATTTTCTTGGCAAGATTTTCAGAAGTAGTTTGTGTTGCTTCCTTCCTCGGGCTGAGAGGGAACAACTAGTCCAGAGTCATGCTTTATGCCTAATGTGGGACTAAAAGTCACAATCTCCTGATTTCTAGCCTGTTATATTAACCATTACACCAAACTGCCTTTACATATTGATATAATTACCTGATATGCAACAGATAACTGATAAGAACAATACACAACACAACAGTAGCTATATGCCAGATGCTCTCCAAAAAAAATCTTCATCTTGACCAATTTAATTTAATTTAATTTAATTTCTAGAATGCTAATCCTAACCATTCAATGGAAGATGGTTCATATCCAATGGAAGTTCATCAATAAATATTATTAATGGCCTTAGCCATTTTCTCCTCATGGAAGCAGCTTTTCCCAGATATATGGAGGAATGTTTCTGGAATCTTAAGCATATGGGGTTTTATTGGGGTACAGCCAAAGTACTGAAAGATTATTACTGTCACCTGCCAATAGTTAGGGTGCTGCATTTTGCAGAAATTACAGTTTGTGAGTTGTGTTCAAAGACGGACCCATGTAGAACATACTGTGTTTATCTAACACAGACAGGTCCTCCTGCTTTAAGTAGAGCTGTGCCAATGACATTGGGCAAATGCCTCCCTGGCCACAGCTTCACTTGCCCATTCAACAATAGTCATGAGTCCGAGAGAATCCTTAAATCATAGACCTGTTCCTTCAGGAATAATACTTCTCCATCCAGAGTTAACACTGGAGCTTACAAAGAACCTTAATAAGCAAGCAGTTTCTGGGATTCTGCTTCGACCTGTATTGTCTCATCCAAACCCAAACAGCTTCCAAATGAATTAGCATCTACCACCCTCCACCCCATAAAAATAATATGTCTTTTCTTATGTACTTAAAGATATGGTTCCAATTCCAACTTTTGTATATGCATCCATGTTGAATTGTGACTTTCCTTAGGGCTAGATATTCTAGGTGACATTATACAGAATTAGCTATTTTCATACGTAGTTGCACTAGATTCAGAGAGCTTGTCATATCAGTAAAATGTTCCATGTTATTTTAAACCAAAAATAACTGCGTTTTATTAAAAGTTAAGATGTACTTAAAACAAAGTTGATTTCTGATGACTGCATTCATGCACTTTTTTAATGGTGTTATGGAAACAATTAGCTATTGCTATCTTTGAGGATGCAGTCCTTTTTCAAGTTTATCTGTGTATTTTTCTACATTTGAGTTTTCACATAAATTTCTTGCAGATGTAACACCAAATATATTTACCAATTCTTAATGTTATAGAGGAAAAAAAATCAATCCATCAGATATTTAGATCCTAATCATTGTAGAGCTTTACATGCCAAATCCAGAATGTAGAAGTGTACTCAGTAGCAGATTGATTGTACAGCTTTTTTAGAACAAGTGGAATACTATAAATTCATAAGAGTGTTACACTTTTAGATGTATAACAATAGCATTTTATACCAGGAATCTTGCTGCATTGTAACTCCAAGCAAACTGAAATGTGTATAATCGGGAGCTTTGCTTTAACAAAATCTGAAAGATTACAGATTATCTACATACCAGATGATGATGATAGTGGTGGTGATGATGATGTTAATGATGTGCTATCAAGTTGAGAGGAAGGGGAGAGAGAGAGGTCTGTCTCTGTTTTGATGCTTCAGCTCCTCCAATAGTGAACTCTACTATAACCAAGTTTGTTCACTTGCTGCCGGTTGTCCTCTTCTCTTTTCTTCTACCTTTCCAAACATTAGAACCTCCTGCAGAGATCTAGGTCTTCCCAAAACTAGGTAGTTTTAGGTGTGTAAACTTTAACATCAAGAATAAAACTGGGATTCATCTGTCTTGTCTATCAGTTTACTAAACGTGAACCAGAAGATACCAAGAGTGCAGATTCTGATAGAGATGTCTTCAATGAGAAACCATCTAAAGAAGAAGTCATGGCAGCCACTCAAGCTGAAGGGCCCAAAAGAGTTTCTGATAGTGCCATTATTCACACAAGCATGGGAGATATCCATGTCAAACTGTTTCCTGTTGAGTATGTATATGAAAACTGTTTTAAATTTATTATCGGACCTTTCACCAATGTAGTGGATATTCCTTTTGTTCCAATCTCACAGTTGCTTTCTGGTGTGGCATATTCATCTGAAAAAAAGATTCTCATTGAAAGCTGAGGAAGGTGTTCATTCTGTTTCTCCCCAAATAGGGCACATCTTCATTGGTACACTCTTTCCCCCTTTGTAAGATAATCAGAATGATACTTCAACTTTAAAAGAACGGGAATTGTCCTTATTTTTGTTGTCATATATTGCAAACTACAGGCAAATCTTATAAACAAAAATGAAGAGGCAATGTTAGCAATATGCAGTTAAATTGATGGGTCCACAAGTACAAGAGGTAATGACAGACAGTGTAATAGAACATGCACACAAATGCATACCTGCCTGGGATGTAGTGGGTTGTCCTTTTTCATTCCCTTGAAGTGGGGTGTCCCTAAGACCTTAACCGCAATTCCTCCTGCACCTCAACATTTCTGGGGAGAGCTTGTTTGGAAAATGCAGTTACTACAAATCATCTACTTTACTATGTAGAAGATGTGGTGGTGACATCTTTCTCTGCCTTCCTTATTTTGTGCTTCTGTTTGGGGAGTTAAAGTTACAATCCTTTCAGAAGGAGAATGCTGATTCAATAAGAATGTATGTTTTTATTGTGTGGATCAAGGAGATGGAAATAGAAAGGTGAAAGGAAGAATGGAAAAAAATGAATGCAATAATTACTTTCAGTTGCTCTTTTTTCATTTTAGCAAGGGGTTCTCTGCCCAGTTGCTGGGTGTGCGTGGCCTAGTTGGCTCCTGCACCACGGCGGGGGGGGGGGCATTTTTGTCCTCCCAGGCTCCAGAGGTTTTCCTCGCGCCTCCGGGAGGACGAAAACAGCCTCCCCAGGCTCCGGAGGCCCTCTGGAGTTTCCAGCCTTCCCTAACTTCCAGTAAGCCAGTTTTTTGGCCTCTGCGCACGCCCTACACTTACCTGCATCCAAAACGGGCCATGTGGGGACTCCGGGGAGGGGAGGGGCGGGCGGGGCCAGCCAGGAGTGGGATTTGCACAGAATCTTAGCTAGAGATTTTCCTGAACCCCTGCAAACCCCCAGCAGCCCACCCCTGTCTTCTTTCATTCAGAAATATGCACCTGATGCACACACTCCAACATACACCCACAGAAGAAAGACAGAATGAAATAGAACAATGTATAACAAAGGCACCCAAGTATAACTCATTTTCCATAAAATAAAATTCTAATCCTTATTCCATTGGAAGCTGGAATTGTAACAGCTAATTTATTTGACTTTAAGACAGTCCAGGAAGTCATGCTCTTGATCCCCTTATGAGAGAAGAAGCAAAAGGGAAAAACAAAATAGAGCTGGACAATTTTCTAAAAATCCCCCCTGCAGATGAGTTTTTCCTTTTCTTACTGGCTCTCTAGCATTTGATTTCCTTTCATTCATTACACACAAAGTTAAAGAATGGGGATTTAAACTCTTTAATGTAGGAAAATATTGTATTAATTATGAAGGTGACTCTGATATTGCATTACTTCTGAGTATTAGTGTTTGAGAACACAAGAGTTGGCACTGCATTCCTGTTCTTTTTACAGCCTTTCCACTAGCATTGCATTGCTCATTGTAATAATAAAAAAAAATCCTACCTAGATTGGCTCAGTAGGGTCTAAGTCTAAGTGAAAATATTGGGTTGCCACACTTTATGTTAACAGGATAACTATCTGACTGCAGGTGCCCCAAAACAGTAGAAAACTTCTGTGTACACAGCAGGAACGGTTACTATAATGGACATACCTTTCACCGGATCATAAAGGTAACCGATGGCTATTCATTCCTTTCAGCATTTATAATATACACTTGGTTCAGTGAAATGGCCAAGTTGAGATGCCTTTATTTACATTAGCAAAGTTGCTGTAGCTTTGATTTACCTAGTAGTTAATTATAGCCCTTTACACGTCATAACGAGTTTTGTATTTCTGAAGTAAATCTGCCAATTTTTTAAGTTTTAGTAAAAAATCCATTTAAAATGTTTGTACATTGTTTATATGAAGTTGATATGTTGCTTTTACTTTATGGGTGAGTCTAATTCGGGAATTAAGCCATTAGATAAAATAATTTTTAACAAAATAAAAAAATTAATATATATTTTTTAATAAAGCTTAAGCTCCATCACTGAAACTGTGTAACTCATGCAGTGAAATATTGAAACAATTTTAAGGTAATCCTAGATTTACAACAGTTCATTTAATGACCATTCAAAGTTACAATGGCACTGAAAAATGTCACTTATGACTGTTTTTCACAGTTACGACCTTTGGAGCATCCCCATGATCATGAGATCAAAATTCAGATGCTTGGCAACTGATTCATATTTATGACTACTGTTGTGTTTCAAGATCATATGATCACCTTTTGAGACCTTCTCACCAGAAAAGTCAATGGGGAAGCCAGATTCATTTAACAACTGGGTTTCTAACTTATCAGCTATGATGATTCACTCAACAACTGTGGCAAGAAAAGTCATCAAACTCACTTAACAAATGTCTCACAGAAATGTTGGGCTCAATTGCAGTCATAAGTTGAGGATTCCCTGTATATGTTTGGAATATGTGCACAGGTTTTAATGTCTAGGCAGTCCTTGGTCTATGCCGGGGTCACCAACCTTTCGGATCTCAGGGACCACTAAATTCATAATTTTAAATCTCGCGGACCACTAATATGATCTGCCTAATGACCGGCTGGGTGGGCATGGCTAGGTGATCATGTGACTGGATGGGCGTGGCTAATTCAATGTCACTCATGTCGAGGGGCACCTCGCCAACCTCTACTCACCCCTCTCCTGCCAGCCACTCCTCGCCTCCCCACCAGGGCTCTTTAGGGCCCCAACAGGAAGCAGTTGTTGGAGCTAGACAGCCACCACGAGAAAGAGTTGGCAAAACAGCTGGCTCAGTTCAAATTGGATGTGACCGAGAAGGAGGCTCAGCAAAAGCACCTCACTGAGGACTAGGAGCATAGGCTTTCCAAGCAAGGGGAAGACCTGCGGGAGTGCAAGGCCAGGTATTGGCGCCTGGAGGCTCAGCAGGTTGAGATGGTCAGCCAGTCCAGGCCATGATGCAGTCCCAGTGGAAAAAGGCCCTCTGGCTCTTCGCCACCAGCAGCACTTCCCTCCAGTCTTCGCCCAAAGCCCCGCACCAGGAGGCCAAAGCAGACCCCAAGTCGGAATTTCTGCCTCTCTCTGCCCCACACAAAAAGACCTTGAAGGGGGGGGGGACTCTCTGCAGCAACACAAACGTTCATTGTACATATCTGTTCCAGGGGCCGTAGTTTGAGGACCCGATTTAGTGCAATATAAAAAATGTAAATAATTTTTCTACGGACCACCAAAATTTTCTCATGGACCACCAGTTGGTGACCGCTGGTCTATGCAGTCCTATGAGCTTGGTTGTTTGCTTGAAGTCATTTCATTACTCAACTGGATAACATCTTCAGTTCAAGTGATGCAGGATTTGCTCTCTGTAAATAGCAGCTTACTTGGTGAGGGTGTGGAGGTTTTTTCCCCTTACTACTTTCTCCTAATTGGGATGCTGTTTTCTGCTTGATTATTTGTCTAGTATTAGTCCTTGCTTATCTGGGTGCTGGCAGCTTGAGAGGAGGCTTTCTGGAGTTATTGTTTCCTTAGCTTTTTTTATTGTCTCTTTCAAATGGGTGTAAATATGGTTTATTTCTATGATGGCAGATTTGATGGATGATTTGTCTGGATGCCAGGCTTCTGGGAATTCCCTAGAATTTTTGGATTTAGATGGCACTAGTAGACTCAGTTTCCCAGTTGAAACTATGGTTAAGCTGACAAATGTGGTTTGACTGCTAGTTGGTGTGCATAAATGTGCTCTGCTAGTGTTCTGTTGTCTGTCTTACCTAGTGTTACATTCCTTACACTGTATGTTGTAGATGACTCCTGGGTTTTTTTTGTTGTTGTTGTTGGGCTACTGAATCTTCGGGTTTACTTAAGATGTCTTGGAGAGTTTATGTGCTACAACCTTACTGCATGGTTGTAATAGCTTGTTGTTGTTCCTGAGATGTTTTTGATGTACTCTTCCCATAGCTTATGTTGTTGTGCTGCAATAGATTGAGTGGTCAGGAACTTTTTTATTACTACACAGCTCCACTTGTGGGAGGCTAGGGTGTTTTTCAATAGACTTGTACATCTATTTTGCTGTAGTTTCTTCTGATGAGAATATAAAGGAAGTGTAGTGTATTGCTTTCTACTTCCCTTGTGATTTTATTCCTTTAAAGATGTTGTTTCATACGTCTTCTCTAGCTGTGGCTTTTTTATTACGAGAAAAGTGTCATTTGCATACTGGATCCATTCTTTTGGTTGTATATGTGGGAGTGCTGTGGTTTCCAGATGCTGCATTAGTCTCTGGTATACCCCACACTAGCTGGCACTGAGTAGCGAAACATCTGCAAGCAAACAACCAAGCTTAGAGAGCACCAAGGACTTCACAGTTAAGCCATGAGCTTCATATATTCTCTCTCAAAAATATTTAGTATGGTTAGTTTAAAAATACACTTAACAGATGACCTATTGTATTAGAGAATTAAAGAAGTATTCTTGCTATGGGGGAAGCAAAGATTATTTTCCTTCCTTCAATGTTATATTTCATACATTCATTATCATACATCCAGGATTGCTTAAAACAGTGTTTCTCAGCCTCTGCGAGTTTAAAATATATGGACCTCAATTCCCAGAATTTCCCAGGATGTTAGCTGGGGAGTTATGGGAGTTAAAAATCCACATGTTAAACTTTCAAAGTTTGAGAAACACTGACATACTTTTTACGTGTTTGTATTATGAGATTGTATTTCACAACTTTTCATGAGTTGTGAAATTTATGTGACAGTATGGTAACTCTAGAACATAGTATTTGAAGAGATTTCATAGAGGTTGTATCTCTCACTAACTAGTAATCATGGTACTTCCCCTGAATGCCAACTGCTTAGGTCTCAAAGGAGTGATTTAATACTTCATTCTCGTTTTTTCTGCTTGAGAATTTCTCAGGGAGATCTGATTAATCAGTAGGGTGTTCTGGTTGGTGAAGAATGGGCATTAAATTGAGGCAGTAGGACTGGTGTTACATTATTAAAATGGTAATGTTAACTTAAGACCATATTTTTTGGTCAATGCAGGGTTTTATGATTCAGACTGGTGATCCTACTGGCACTGGCATGGGAGGTGAAAGCATCTGGGGAGGAGAATTTGAAGATGAGTTCCACGCAACTTTACGACATGATAGGCCATATACACTTAGTATGGCCAATGCAGGACCAAACACCAATGGCTCACAATTCTTTGTAACAGTAGTACCAACGGTAAGTAACATGTCAGCTATTTGTCAGCTGTTCAGGTTATATTTTGTGGAATGAAGGGCTGCCACGGGGTGTGTGATGTTGCAAACTGAATAGAAGCAGGATTTTATTTTCTAATTATCTTAACCTTATTTTAAGAGTTAACTTTGTTGCATCTCAAGAATAAATGTCAATAGAAATTCTCAATCATCCAGGTCACAATTGCCCCAAAGGTGCTTTTTCCAAAAGACAACTGGACTTTCTTGGTTTTTTTCTTTGAAAATGTTTTCTCATCCAAAAAGAGTAGTATGAATGAGAAACAATAGAGTAGTTCTTGAATGAGAAACAAAATGTTTTCAAAGAAAAAACCAAAAAGGTCCAGTTGCCTTCTGGAAAAAGCAACGTTGGGACATCTCAATAGTAGCAGAACACTCTGCTAGCATTTTTCTGGCTCTTTGAGGATCACAGAAAAGGGGCTTGAGAGCTGTATGTGGCCCTGAGGCCTCATTGCTCACCCTTAATCTAGCTGAAATGAAAACAACTCATGTGAGAGACAAGAAGGATTGAGATAGTTGATCTGAACAGGAATTTTAAGCAAGTGTAATTGGCTCTGTATTTTATCTGCTAAGAGTGATTAATTTAATTTAATTTAATTTAATTAATTCAATTTATATGCCGCCCCTCTCCGAAGACTCAGGGCGGCTCACAATACATTTTAAAAAATCATTATAAAAAACATTTAAAAATTAAAAACATTAAAAACTCATTCACACCATTCATGGCCAGATCTCGCCAGATCACAAGAGCAAGACCAATGGCCCCAGGCCTGCCGGAAAAGCCAGGTCTTCACCGCTTTTCGGAAGGCCAATAGGGTGGGGATGGTCCAGACCTCAGGAGGTAACTGGTTCCAGAGAGCTGGGGCAGGCACAGAGAAGGCCCTCCCCTGCGGGCCCGACAACCGGCATTGTTTAGCTGACGGGACCCGGAGGAGACCAACTCTGTGGGATATTACCGGTCACTGGGAGCTATGCAGCAGAAGGCGGTCTCGAAGATAACCTGGCCCTGAGCCATGTAGGGCTTTAAAGGTAATAACCAACACCTTGAATTGTGACCGGAGACCAATAGGGAGCCAGTGCAGCTCGCGGAGAATTGGTGTAATGTGGGTGTACCTAGGTGCACCCATGACAGCTCGCGTGGCTGCGTTCTGGACCAATTGTAATCTCTGAACACTTTTCAAGGGTAGCCCCATGTAGAGCGTGTTGCAATAATCTAACCGTGAGGTGACAAGGGCATGAGTGACTGTGAGGAGAGCCTCCCGATCCAAGTAGGGTCAATTAAGGTGCAATCCTGACAGTTTTCCTCAGACTATAATAGGAAAAATCTAACCACTCAAACACAGGTTTGCTGTTTACTGATAAATGAAGGCAACAAGAAATCTAAGCATTTCCCCATAGAATTTAAGATTGAAATTGAATCAAATCCTGAGATGGCCATGGCACTAAGTAGCATTAATTCAATTGTATTTTTTTCACATTTGTTTTGAAATGAAATAATCATACTGAATTGTTATCTATTTTATATTGCCTTAAGAATCATAAGTAGAAATAGAATCCATGTTAATAAAATCAGTCATTTCCCTTAACAGAAGGTAGCATACTTTTTTTCTCTGTACATGATGCCTAGTTTGGGATATATCTATATTTGCCTGCATGCCTGCCTCCTAGAATGCCAGCCAAGAGGCATTTTTATGTTTATGCATGTTCCCTCAATTACAGATTATAGGATCAATTTGTCAATATTGTTACTTTCAATTTTAATGTTTCTGTGTTTATTTTCACATGTCAACTAATTACAACCACGTAACAGCCATGGCTGGATAATAAGCACAGCGTATTTGGAAGAGTCACTAAAGGAATGGAAGTTGTTCAGAGAATTTCAAATGTGAAAGTTAATCCAAAAACAGATAAACCCTATGAAGATGTAAGCATTATTAACATCACTGTGAAATAATAGTAATATTAATTTTAAAAAACACCTCAGGGACTTGAGTTATATGTAAATCTTATGTATTTCTGGCATAAAAAGTTCAGAACAGATTTCAGTCATGTCTTCAAAATGCTCTGAAAAATATTTTTAATGTTTTTAATAAAGGTAAAAAAACCCACCATATTAAAACAATCATTTTGTTTCTCATATATACATACATACATACATACATACATATACATACATACATACATATATATATATATACACACACACACACACACACACACACACACACATATGTATGTATGTATGTATGTATGTCTTATGTGGATATTAATTGGTTTCTAGGCTTTTTTGAATAACTTGGCATGGGAAGCACGTGCTATTCCATTTTCATATTGTTATGTTACTATTACTGGTATGGTTTTGTTTACCAACAACTCACCTTGTGAAATGGTCTTTTTGCAGATGACTTCACAAAAAAATTAAATTAAAATTAGATATTTCAGATCTGATTAAAAATATTTTAGTAGTATTTGGTGTGACAAGCAGGATTGTTAGTAAATGCAGATTCATCCAGTTGCCCAAACTAGTTTTATGTGGAAATCTGAGATCAGTATTTAAAAAAACATCTTAAAAAACATCAGTATCTAAAAAAAGTCTTAGCAATAACACTGTGAACTTATTAAATTGGGTAGAGGATTATTTGCATTTTAAATGTAACTCTACTCAACATTCTATCTTATCAGATATCTCCTTTCTATAATCCATTATTTCATTTTGTGGGATGAAAAAATAGGGCAAACTGAAAAGCTAGCACATTTTTATATTTGAATTAGCCCAGTACAATAAATATAAGGGACTTATATAAGGGACTTAATATAAGACCCTTGTTATAAGAAGACATTAGCTGGGAATGTTAGATTTCTTGAGAGTGGTTTCTTTAAGTCTGTATTTTCAAAGCATGTACAAAAGATGAGACCAAAAAGTGGCTCAGCATAAGTGAAGCATAATTTTCTGAAGCAAATATTAGATATAAAACAGGACCTATTCATATGCCACAGTAAACCTAACCAGATTACAGTATTATAGATCAGAATGGGAAGTGAATGGAAAGCATATTGAATTCTTGTTTATATATAAATTATAATGTGGTTCCTATGGTTTTTGATTTAGCGAGAGTATTAGGTAGTGTTCCTTTAAGGATAAATCTGACAAAGCTCTAACTACTGGCCACCAGCTAAGAAGAGAACATGACTGAATCATGCTATTGCCAATTTTGAGTTCAGTTCTGTTAAATTTATTCTAAACAAATTTATTCTAAATTTATTCTAAAGTTTTATACAGAATATCCTGTAAAATCTATTCAGAGGCTCTCCAAACATTGCCAAAATTCCAAGTGAAATTACATTAAATATTGATTATAGGTTCAGTACAGGAAAACTTGGCACATGGGACTAAAGATATGTCTGTATATCAATTTAAGAAAAATAAATTTTGCAATGTAAAAATTCTATAATTTAAAAAGTATCATGACAATTATAGCAATTCTTTTATGTTGTACTATTATTCTATATTAATTTCTTCTAGCAACTTCTTACTCTTATTTTTCTTCATTATGTTGATGCTGACTTTTGTTGCTTTCTATTTTTATAATAAAGAATATGGTTTAATTGTGGCTTCAGTATTGGAAAATTAAGTAACATTCCCTTTGAATCAAGGACTTTCTGATTATTTCAGGCACTCATCCATAAATTTTTCTTAGCAATAATATAGAAAAGGTTTGCCATAGTCTTTTTCTGAGATTTTTTAAAATTTCAATTTCAAGTCTATAGGGACATTTATTTAGATAAATGCCACAGTCAGCTTAATATATGATGGGGTTTTAACCTGTTCTAAAAGAATTCACCAAGTATTAGTTCAACCACACAGACAGACAGACTCATATTTCTGACAATAAGCAGCTTCAAAGAAGAAACAGTTTGGGTGAAATAATTTTATTACTATGATTCACTATCACAACTGTTAAATATTTATTTTTGTGAGCTATTTTACATGTGTTACAGGTGCAGAAGGTAGATATTTTTATGCAATAACTCCTCTTCCTTTGACCTATTCCTGTTTGTAATTAGAAAATAACTCATGACATAAAGTTACAAGCTACAGTGTAACTGGGTATTGTTGCATATGGTATTTTTATATGTGATACCATACAATACCTTTCTTTATCATTGTTGAACACTGCATTTAATCAAAATTCAACTGTATCATTATTTTACAAAGATATCTTTAATCAAATACAGTCCACTCTTAAAACAGTTTATATGAAGCTCTTAAAAATTTCTTTGCAGCTAAAACAATTTTAGAAACTTGCACTCATTAGTACACTAAAGAAAATTAAAGGTCAATGATGTATGAAACAAGTTTTAATTTCTCCTTGAACAAGTTATATACAATACAAACAAGATGCTAAATGTGGTAAAATTGAATTCAGACAACTATAATAGTTATATTCACAGTAACTTTTGTGAGTTTCAATTAAATAATACTTTTATACAAGTACACTATATTTGCAGCAGAGCTCAACTTTGTCAATATTAACCAACAAATATTTCTGCACATTCTCCTAAAATCAACACCTTCAGAGTTTTACATGAAGCAAGCAATAGCATTTAAAGCCACTAATAAAACAATTTACATTCAGCCTTTTGAACTGCTATATATTAAGTGATATCATGCATTCTAATAGCATTAAAATGAAATATAAGCAAGCAATACAGTAGCAGAAGTCTGACTTCACTAAAATATAGTAAAACCTTTCAAATTACTTCACAGACACAGGCTTTGCACCTACAACTTAGTTCTTAAAGACATCTAAACTTGCAGTGTATTTTGACAGGAGTTGAAGCAGGTAAGAAATGTTTGTGACAAACAACCCCTACTTTTATAGTATTTAGGTATCTATAGCCAATTATTTTAATACATTAAAGGTTTCCATTAATGCATAAATGCTACAGAATGCTGAAACATGCCTGTCATCCAAACATATCCCCCAAAGGGAGGGAACCAATGGCAAATATTTTATCTCAAATAGGTAGGTTTTTTTTTTTTACTTTTAAGACAATTATATGCAGCATTACTTACTACTTCAACACAATATAAAAAAAAAACCTTGATGGCTACAGTTTAAAAGATCTTTCATTGACCTTGTTTCAGAAATGATTATGTTTTAAAGATGAACTGATATTTCACTAAGGTGATAAAACTGTGATCCCGAAAGTTATCTAGGATTAAACTCCACTGAACAGCACAACACACAAACATATGCTTGTGCTGTATAACAACATGATTCAATCACTTCAGCAATTATATTTTGAAGAGGCAGGCACACTTTGTCCCAATAGTATTAATTGGAAAGTATTAAAAGGGAAGTAGGAGAAAGCAACAGCATAGAGCCAGGTCTGGGTTGTAAATGACTGCAACTTCCATTACTTAAGAGTCTACAGGCTTTGGAATACCATTCAACAAGGATCTTATCATTGGGCATCCAAATACTGAGCTGATCCTTCACTGCAGCCCATGCACTACTGAAGCAAGTAGCAAAGTCTCAAGTCAATCACAGTAGAAAGAAGTAACAATGCCTCCTTTTGCAATCTGAATGAACTTCATGCATGGTAACAGGTTCTGACCTTTTTATGTATTCAATGAGTAGACCAAGAAGGAACTCTTAGTTTCGTCTTCCCTAGGGTTCTGACTGGCAATACTGCTAATTGTTTTCCCCAGTTCTGCCACATACTTCCAATTGTCAACGCAGCTTCTGGACTCCTTGTTCTCAGCAGCTCCATTTTTAATGATATAAACAGGACTTGTATGGATCATCTATTATTAATGATGGAGCATGTTTAGATATTTACTATCTAAATCCTGCTTTAATTGTCACTGGACTTTTGGTGAATTATTGCTTTGGTAAAAAACATTCTATTAAGGAAATTCTGCTTCTTACGATAGCTATAGCTTCACCCTTTTCAGTCTTAAAACACAGAACTACTGATTGCAGCACTCAATCAGAATTCTGCATCTGAACGTTTACTTATGTATAAACTAAATAGAGCCTCTTCAAGAAAATTAGCAGGAATTACAAATATGCACTCCTAGATTTCTCAGAAAATTATCAAAATTTTCAGTCTAGAACTAGGCTACTCTAGTTACTCTATCAAGCAAACTTTACCTTAAACTTTAGTGATGTCAAAATGAATGAATTCAAGTATTAACATGAAATTATTAACCATAGTAAAGCATGACCCTTAGAATGTGTATTACTTGATAAAACATAGTCAAAGAATTAATATTAAATATCAAAATTACCAATTCATAGAATTTTCCCCGTCAATAAGCCAACTAATATCAAGGGGAAAATGAAAAATTATCTTTATTGAATCACAGTAAAAAATAATTACTGTAATTTGAAAGCAAATCTCAGTTCAAATTAAAGTAGAAACAAATGTGCAGTCTGTGGCACTAGGGAGACAGTGTGCTTCCATGACTATATATATATACAGAGAGATTTCCAAGATTTCCTCATAAATCAGATTTTGAATACTAATAAAATATTACAGAGAAGCTAAACCTGATCTTAAATGGTAGAGGGACATAGTCATGTATCATCAGATAGAATGAACTGTAAAGCCTAACAATCCCCAAATTCTGATAAGGATTAAGATGACAAGGAAATGAGAAGGGATTCTGATATGCAATCTCAACTAAAAAAATGCTAAGATGCTAAGACAAAGGCACATAGACTCTTTAAAGAAAGTCTGATTTCCACATACCAATTTAAGCAAATACCGGTAGTTGTTAATTCTGAAACATTTGTTACATAATTCGAAATAGCATCTGTCATATATCTAACTGGTAACTTTTCTGTAAGGTAGTGCTGTTTTTTACTCCAACAACATCCCAACTGAGATAAGAAAAGTGGAAGACAAACAATCTGTGGATAGGGGCTTGCTTTTCATGAGTTTTTATGACAAATTTAAGAAACAGTAATCTGTCAAAGATGTAAAAACCCAACTCCTACAGAGAATTTTGTTGAAAAATAGTGTGAAGAGAGAAAGAAGCAAGAAAGGCATGTGGCAGAAGCAGTCTACATAAAATGGAAAAGACAAATAAAGCAGTCAAGACACTTTTTATCTAAGCTGATATTTGGATGGGCTGATACATTTCCCACAATTCACAGTGAGAATGTGTAACTTTGACATCTTTGTAAATAATTAAGTGGAGAAATGCTGCTCTTATTATTTTAATATTCAAGAGACTGCCTTCATTTTCTTCTCCATTTTTATTAGAACCCATTTTTTTTTCTGGGCAAAAATTTCCTACCCTTTCTAGAGTTGAACAAATGGTTTTCTGAATCTTCAATTTTTGCTACAACCTGCCCTATTAATTTTTAAACTTCTCATCTCAACAACATTAGTGGAGGTCCTATTTCAGTAGTTATTTATTTCTGCATTTTTAAGGCTGCTCATAATTTATCGAAAGCATACCAGTAAAGCAATGTATGCGTGAAAAGTTAACCACAATTAAATAGTCTATATGATTTCAACAAGTTAAAAAATCAACAGATCGTGTGCAATTAAAACACACAATATATTGATAAACAGGTCCTGGAATAACTTCAAATCTCAGATATTCTACTTAACGCTTTCTTAACTCTGAATGGATGGAATATTTGTACATTAGAAATTTCTAAATGTATCTAAAAATTAATATGAACGTGTGTGTGTCGTATTAACGCAATTTTAGAGGCAGCCTCAATATATACTTTGTAAGCCACATTTGCAAAATAATAACAGTAATAAATAAGTCTCTGATTAGTACAACAGTTTTTCCAAGATACAGACAAAAAAAATCCTATGCTTACAGGAAATTTTACCTAAATATGTGCAAAAATGTGTAATTATTTAATATCAGAGAAGAGTTTCCTCAAAAGCAGCATCCAAATTGATTAAATTAAGAATAAAGGAAATACATAAAAGCAACAGTAAGGCTATAGCACAAGTGGAAAACTGTTGTGAGTATACTAGCATAGATATGGGCTTGAATTTTAAGAGCAAGAGCTATTAACCAGAACCAAGCATTTGTGCAGTCAGTTCCTGCTTCACTTAATATATAGTAAACTATGTTGGTAATATGAAATAATGGTTATACATGCACCCAAATCTGAGAGAGCAAGTGAATGCAGCAAGGCCATCATTGAAAGAAGTGAAATTAAATAGATGCTAAGTCCTGAGAGAAGGATGTTTAATAGGGAAGGCTGAAGATCCTCAGTTCAAATTTCTTTAAAAGAAATTAAGGCACCTTTCCCACAAATACATTATATCACTCTATTTGGTTACTGTAATTTACACAAGTTATACCTACACTGTGCTTCAGTCTAGCATTCCAACAAAATGTTTTTAAGGAGTAACAGGTTTAAATGAAGTTCATATCTGACCATATCAATTCACATAAATAAACAACTGATCTTTATGCTTACTGGCTCTCTTAAGCCACATCCAGTACACCTGCAGCTACCAGGTGCCTTGAAAGCCAATCCAGTCCTTCGTAAAGTCCCATGCCACTTCGGGCATCACAGCCTTGAATGTACCAGCTACGACCACAGCAAAGTTTGTGGAGATTCAGTAATTCTGTGATTTCTTCTACTGAAAGTGCCCCTGGCACATCCTGTAAAGAGAGCCCCATAGCATTAGTATGCAGACAGATAATAGTTTAAAAGTAAATGTTCTTATTTAAGAATATGGTGGGGTTTTTTTCAGTTTGGACATGTAGCACAATAGGGAGGGGAAATGCATTTAGGACACTGAGGAGAGAAAAGACACATCTCAACTTTTATTAGGGAGAGATCCGTCCAAGCAACTTTCAACTAAGGATCCTGCTTTAATTTCCAACCATTTGCAGAAATAAGTGGAAAAAATAAAGTCAACACAAGAAACCAGACACAGATAACTACAAAGGGGTAGGCCAAAAAAAAAACAAAACACTAGTGTTAGAAAGCAAAATTTATTTTTAGTTCTACTAATTACGGGCTAACATAGGTTCTTATCAGCCTTTAGTGTGGTTTATTGATAATATAACATGTTAACACAAAGACCAGCACTTTGGAGGATTGACTTGGTATTCAGTGAATGGAGATAGACAGAATTTCCTTTTTGTTCTGCCCTACCCAAGCGTTATTTTGCTCTCAATCCATCTTCTGATGGACTGAAGAAAGAGAAAGAAGGAAAACAGAAAGTCATCCTCCTCACAGATGGCATCCCATTTGGCCACTCAGGTAGAGAAGGAATGAAAGTGAAGACCGAGTTTTGAGTGAAAGCTATAGATAAAATAATTGTGGCAGAAAGATTATTATTTTTAATAGAATAATCTAATACTTATTTTATTTTTATTGATTGATTAATGTGTTCTTAAGGATTGTCATTTAAATTGCAACAGTTTTTGATTTATTCTGTATTTTCTCCTATTTTATACTGCCAAAATGAAAACAATGGAAATGAAGCAGAAAAAAACCCCCAATGGGCTATATTACCTGCTTGTTGGCAAAGATCAGTAACAATGCATCACGCAGCTCCTTCTCTGTTAATAGTTTGGCAAGTTCACTGTGTGCCTCGCTGACTCTGTCTCTATGGCTGCTATCAATGACAAAGACCACGGCTACAGAAAAGAACAATTGTGCAATTATATTTGTTATGAATTTGTTTCTTCCTACTAAAATTTTATTTTTTGAGGTCAGGAGGAGGATTAAATTTTAAATTCAATTTGAAAGCTAGTGCTTAGTACAAATTTCCAAACTGGTATCTATTTGAAGCAGACTCATATATTACACAAAAAAATGCAACCTCCTATGCGGCACCAGAAAACTTTAGAAATAGATTTCAGGGTTACGCAAAAGTAAACTTTATTAGTTGAAGAACCAGCAAATGGAATGCAGGGAAGTGGTTTTAATGACCTGCTTATTCTATCTAACAAAATTGGCTCCAAATAGGATAGCACTAAGAGGATGAAAAAAATCTGTGAAAATATCTATATTTCTCTATTCCACTGTGTATGTGGCAATAGTAGAGACAGGAAGTTCTGCTGGATCCAGTTCAGCCATGAGAAGAAACTTAAATTCATGGAGAAGTAATCATGGATCAAACCCAATGTTTCAAGTATTAAAGATGGTCCTAATTTGACAACACTTGTTCAGTGACCAAATTTGCAATGGTGTTGAATATATATTTGTTATATCTGCTCCTCAAAGTCCTCAGAGTTCTGTGGTCACATGATCACAATTTACAACCTTCCCTGCCAGCTTCCTACAAGTAAAGTCAATGGGGAAACAGGCAAGAAGTAAGAAATTACGATCACATGAGATCATCACTTAACAACATAGTATTTGCTTAACAACAGTAACTGGGACTGCTGGAACTGCCACAGCTAAGTAATATGGTCATTTTATGTCATGCTTTACAACAACTACACCACTTAGCGATGGAAGCTACATACCCAGTTACTATTGTTAATCAAGGGCTACTTGTAATTGAAATTGTAATATGGGTAATTGCAGTTTCATCATAGTGACACATGTTCTTCTATGGATTTTTGCATTATGCTGTATAAGACTGTTTATCAAAATTATTGGAACACTATAATTAGTTCAGAATATTGCAGTTCATCTGTTCATAGGAACTCCATATAAGGAACATATGAAACAGTGGTACTAAATTCCAATTTAATTCTCAAAACAATGCAAAATATTAACAATGACTTTCAAAGCCTTGAATGGTATAAGATCAAGCTATCAAAAAGGACTATCTTCTTCCTCATGAAACTACCTCTCTACCAAGATCATCTTTGGAGGCCCTTCTGGTATGTCCCACATGATTAAGGTCTAGAGAAAAATCTTTCAGTGATTGCACGTAGGTTCTCAAATTTCAGTCCAATGAAGGTCTCTCTTACTTCCTCCCTCAAAAGTAAGAGAAAACTCTTCCTTCTGAGGAGGGGCTTTAGTATATCATCTTTCTTAATTTTTTTTATTGTTGTTGCTGTATTGTCTTTTATGTTTCTGCTTTTCAGAGAAATGCTTTTACTGTTATTTGCTAAAAGTTGCATAGATTTCTGTAAATGATATGTGGGATATAATTAATTAAACAACAATCCCATTATCATTTAGAGACTTTTGTAAATCCCCCAGAAATTATAAGCAAAACAAATATAAACATTATCTACACCTTAAATATTTATAGTTTGAAGTTAAATGAATTTCCATGGAAGTTATTTCACATTAACTACCAAAACCTTTGAATGAGAGATACAATTATATTTAAAATAATTAAGTCACAAAGCATTGTATTCTTACCTTGTGTATTGAGGTAATAATGTTTCCATAAAGGCCTCAGTTTGTGTTTGCCACCTACATCCCAAATAGTGAATTTCAGGTTTTTATATTCTACTGTCTCAACATTAAAACCTAAGAGAGTAAAAGAACTTTAATTATACATTCCTAACAAAACATACCCAAGAAAGTCACAATTTTTAAAATCTCTGTTAGTTACCTATGGTTGGAATGGGTTGCATGAACTCATCTTGTTTTAATTTAAATAAAATAGTAGTTTTGCCTGCTCCATCTAATCCAAGGGTCACCACTCTAATCTCCATTTTTGGTCCAATGTGTACTCTGTTGTCCTGCAGTAAAGAAAAAAAGAGGTTTGCTCATTTTAGAGGCTAACATTTAAAGGCATTCTTACATGTCAGCCAAATGTCTTAACCCTTGTGTTATAGAAGCCAGGAATTGAGGGTTGAGAAAGTAATTTAAATATCTTGTCAACATCCTCAGGCCTTAACAACTTGATGTTTTTTAAGCAACATTGACCAGTATTTTACAAATCTCTAGTTTTGGAAATATACTGAGATGTGGTGCCCATATTGTGGTAGATAGGAACAATTTTTAAAATAACTGCACTAATCATCTTTGTTAGAGAAGACGAAGGAGGCTGAAATACAACTGTGGTAGTGGTGGGGTGAATATGCATATATATATGGGCATATAGTTATGCATGTAAGCATTTGTTAAGTAGGGGATAGAAAGCAACATTCTTAAAACCCACTCGAGTGTGCAGTTTTGTATGCACCTATACTAAGGGAGAAGTAACTGGCCATTTATGTGTATGACCCTGACTACAATTGCCTTTTCCTTCAGTGCTGTCCTGAAGAATTCTCCAGCTACTACTACCAAGTCTTCCACCCAAAAGGCTATCTATCCTGAACTTGTAACATATAATGTTACAAAGATGATTTGTAAAAGATGATTAATGTTGAAGACTCCATATTTGATATATTAGAACACTGGAAATCAAACTAATGTTTTGCTTTCCTGACAATAGTTTAAATAGATAGGTCAATGCCTATTGAAGTTCATGAATATACCCACTGTCAGGCCTATACAAATGAAAAGCTGTGCAGTCTTTCATTAGCAAACAACGGTTCAACCAAATACAGCTTGAGAACTACTTGGCTTATGGAGGGCGACAGTCAATATGCTCTTTGTTCCATCTGGGATAGAACATAAACAGAAGGAATGAATGGAACTCAACGTTCCAGGTTCCACTTTTAGCTACAGATCATGAACCAAATTAACCTTTTAATTGTAGTTTTCATCTTATCCCAAATAGATAGATTCTTGTACCATACAGCAGACTATTTCAAAGTTGCCTAAGTTGTTAGTGGGAGAAGAATAAGAACCAAACTCATGTTCTGAATCTTTAACCTAGAGATTAAAAGAACTATACCTTTGTAAAAGTAACTGGAATGCTAGCATCAAGTTGAATGTGGTCTGCAAGTTCTGTGAATTGTTGTTGTTGTTTCTGCAATGTTTCTAAAAGCCTTGTAATCTCTTGTTTAGCCAAAACAACTCTACAGTCATCCTAAAAAGGGAAGCTAAATTTAATTGTATAATAAGCACAGAATCATCTAAATATTAGCGTTCTCAACATATAACAATGGGAAATTGCTCCAAGATGGGTGAATTCACAGTCCTTGCACGGTAGCTATTTTTGGCCCGCAGGCCCTCAAATCATTTTGCCAACATTTGGCAATAGAATGGTTGAATTTCAGTTGCATTCCTATCCCAACCCCACCTAAAATAAGTGGAAAACACATTTTTGCTCATTTTGGTAAGGAGATGATGGTGAAGGAGAATGGAAAAATAATCAGACTTTTCTTCATGGCCTCTTTATCAAAAAGACTTTCAAGCAACATTAAATTTTTGAAATTGCTTTGCTTATAATATATGTAGTTCTTCCTCCTTTCTTTCCATATATCACCAACGTCATACAACTCACAGCTATGCTTATAAATTTTGAGTTTATAATAATTGTTTAATGCTGTTGTATAAATACATTTTTTTTCTGATGGATTAGATTACTGTAACAAAGCAAGAAAAGATCCGTATGCCACTCCAAAACTGGTTAAGAAAAGCATATTTAAAAAATGGAACTTCAACGCTAGCAGATTTAGATTAAAATTATTTTGCAACAGAAATAAATATTAACTCTTTCATAATACATTAATATAAAAAACTATGAAGTCAGTACATTGTTTATAAATACTTTTGTCTCTTAAAGATCAGAGCAGCACCCTACTAGAAACAAGAAAACAAGTTATATTTTATTCAGTTGAAAGAATACAAGCAAATTGCTCATCAATACTCAAAATGTTTTTAACTAATTTCTTAAACAGAAAACCAAACCAGTTAATTTTAGTTTACTTCTTTATACATTTTGGACACAATGGTATTTAATTTTTTAAAAAATGTGATTTATATGCTGCCCTTCTCTGGAGACTCAGGGTGGCTTACAATGCGTTTATATGTTGAATAATTACATGTTTTAATAATCAAGTTTAATATCCTCCATAAACACTTTTACCCATGGGAATCCACAGAGGCAAATGACATCTGTAATGTGGTCATCACACAAATACCACAACCTGTGTTCCATCCAACATTACTGTAATGTACTGCAGATGCCGATGCTTATACCTCGAAGTCAGGTCTAATATGTTTTCTTAGATATTTATATCACTTTTTAGAAGTGGGGTCTCAAGACATTTTAATAAAAAACAAACCATGAATAAAACTCAAGTTTTAATTTGAATTTGACTTCGACCAGTTGCTTATGACATTTTTGGTTCTTTCGACATTTTTGTTATGCTTTTTGTCTGAAGGATCCTGTCTCCCACTGCTATTTATGAAGTCAAGATTTTCAGTAAAGCCAAGTTATAATTCAGTAACAGAATCTGTAACAGAATGAATGCAATTTGTCCAATATTTATTATTTACAAATTGTACTATATTGGTGTCTGAGAGTTGGCATTTCAAGATAGATAGATATATCCACACCTGTCCCAATATTGATTTTGGTTATAGTATTGATTTCCTACCTGCTGTAAAGTCTTTTCACAGTGAAGACATGCTGTTGAAACTTGTGACAACAGGATAGTCATATCTTCTTGCTGTTGCCTAAGCCAGATCAATTTTTCACGCACATGTGCATCTACCACACTAAGTGCCATTTCTTCTTGGCGGCAGAGAGTCTCGTGAAGGTCAGAAAAATAGGCTCTGATACATGACCGAGCATTCTCTGCAGTGCCTGGAACCTGAAGTGAGATTACAAAATCAAACAAAAAGGCTGCCGAGGCATTACAATTATACTAAAGCAGTTTTTGTCTTGAATAGTACTTCTCTCTGGTGTAAGCTCAACCATATACATCATCATTTGCTACAGAAGAGTGTTCATTTTTAAATTGTGACATTCCTGCATTATTTGGAAGAAAGAATAAAACACTAAGAGCAGCAGGTTTTTAGTATTACTGTACAAAAAACCCAAAATGCATGACTTTCAGATTTCACAATGTGTTATATCTCCAATGTTAAAAATGCTGAAACATTAGAGCAGAGTGAAATCAGAAAAACCAAAAAAATAGTTTTCTGCCATGCATTTGCACAAAAGGTTTTTTTTCAAGTTTGTTTAAAGAAATGAATGAAAATACCACTGAATGTGCCTTTGCCCTAGTTTTAAAGGAGTTCTCTGCATCCCAGATGTTTTTTCATTATGTTTTCAAATTCTCCATAATCAATTATCTCCTTAATGCTCTTGACATCTGTTTTATCCTACAGATAAAAGTTCATGTAAGAACTTTATCAACTTTTTGGGTGTCTGCCATAGTTGGTGTTAATTTATTTACTGGGCACAAAAAAGTTCATAAATCATGTAACTACTGTAGCATGTGACATATCAATACTTCCAAAACAAATCTAAAATTAGGAAATGAATTTATAATAAAGATTATGCATAAATTGAAGAAACTACAACATTGCTTACATGTTCTGTGTGGGTCATTCCTATACCATCTTCGAAAAGCTGTTCTCCTCCCTCTATTTGTTGTACAATTCCATCTAGTTTCCGAGAATAATCTGAGATTTCTTCTGTGAAAGTTCTTATACAGTGAGCCATATCTAAAATGGAAGCGCGGATCTGATTTGCTTCTGGTTCCAAAATACTGTGCTAAAGGAAAAACAAACAAAGTAAAGAACATCCTTTCCTGAAATTCTCCTGATCTGCATTCCATTTCTCACCCATTATAAAATTGGAAACAGAATGTTGGACATTCTGCTTACAAAAACATAGAATGCAACAGATATGGGAAAACGTATTTTTCCAAATTCTTTAACAGCATTAGCTTTAACAGCATCAGAAGTCTGTATCTTTTGTTTAGTGATATTCTGTATTTGAGTGTTTTTGTTCTCCTCTTGTGTTGTAGCTACGTTTTGGGGTATATGGACACACTGTGAAGCACAGGGGAAGTTACATATATTCCACTGTAGATCATGAAGGACGAAGAGAGAGAGGGCTTAGAATGGAACAGGCAGAGACATTTCAAGCTGCCACCCAACTAGCTTTCCTGAACGACTGCGTTGGGAAAACACCTTCTGTAATTTTTTCTACATTTCCCAATTCAATCTTTTGTTGTTTCCTCCTCCCACACCAAATTTGGTCCCATTTTTTTTTAGTTTTTGGAGTGTGATCCTATCAACAGGATCAACAGACAGAAAGAATCTCAAGGCATTTGTCATAAATTATTTCCAATATCCCATTGGATTGAAGATAATAAAAAGGGAGATGGTAAATTTAAAGAATAAATCTACTTTTCTAAAAGTTTTCTGATTTTGATTTAAGCTTTAAAAAGGATTTTTTATACAGATTGGTTCCTTGTAAAATATTACAGAGTAACAAGATGAGCACTGTATACAAACAGCATTTCCAATAAAATTACAAACACTCGTGCATAGACATCCTACCATATTACTGCAGACAAGCAACTTTAAAGTGATGTTATTGGAATGCATTTACATATTACCCACTCAGTCAGTCATGTATTAAGAGCCATGGTGGCGCAGTGGGTTAGAATGCAGTACTGCAGACTACTTCTGCTGGCTACCAGCAGTTCAGCAGTTATATTCTCATCGGCTCAAGGCTGAGTCAGTCTTCCATCCTTCTGAGGTTGGTAAAATGAGGAACCAGATTGTTGGGGGCAATATGCTGACTCTGAAAACCACTTCGAGAGGGCTGTAAAGCACTGTGAAGCGGTATATAAGTCTAAGTGCTATTGCTATTGCTATTAACACAGATGGAAATAAAAAATGAAACTTACTTTATGACCCTGGTGTTTTCCGTATTCTTTGCAAACACAACACATAAGAGGACTGGCCTGACAACCTTCTTCCAAGCACACAAATTCAATGGCATGCACTTGGTGCTGAGAACACATCGTCTTTTCATGTGGCTTATCAGCAAGGGGCACACGTCTGTGCTTTGCTAGTGTCTTTGTAGAATGTGTAAGGTGGGAACAGTCTGTACACAGGTGAGTAGCACAAACAGTGCAGTACACAGAAGCCAGATGAGTGTCATCTTCATCACATCGGATGATGCACTAAAAATAAAGAAAAGAACAGCGATTTTTTAAAAGAATCTAAATGTTTATATCTTAAGTTTTTTGAGATGAACCCCTACAAATATACTTAAGACAGTCCAGGTCTTAATTTGTTTTTCAAAAACTTGAAAAACAAGTACCAGATTTATTATATGTAGAAAGATGCAGAGAGAAAGAAAATTGAGAGACTATTACTAAAAAAAAAATCCTGTCCTTCATTCTCACCAATCTAGCTGTTCTAATGACCAAATAAGAGTAAAGCAGGGCCCTCAACATTTTGGGCACCAGGGACTGGTCCATGGAGAAAGGTTTTTCCATGGACTGGAGGGGGCGTGGTTTCGTGTACTGCCTGCATCCAGCAGATGGGGCTTCGCTTGTTTGCGCAGCCCGGTTTCTGGCATGCCGCAGCCCAGTGCCAGTCCATAGCCCAGGGGTTGGGGACCCCTGGAGTAGAGCACTTGACATTAATTTAAGAAAAATGGGCGGGATTGCCTTGTTTAGAAAATGTGGCTCCAAAGCATTTATCCAATTAAAACAGGGTAAAGAACTTGTGATCATCCAAATTTTGCTCAACTACAATTCTCAGAATTTCTCACCATTGATGGCACTGGATAGAGCTGCTAGAGTAGTAACTAAGGAACATACGGAGAGCCACTTGTTCCAAAATCCTATTCAAAGGTACTTTGCTATATTTTGAAATCATTCTTGAAATGAAATTAGAAGCTAAGGTGGCTGATATTAAATGGGTGCAAGATAGTCACATTTTCTGGCAGGTACATTTTGCATTAACTTGTGTTTCTGAGATAGATTCAAGGCAACGCAATCAAGATACATTGCAATAATCCATTTTTAAGGTAATATAGCTAAAGAATAAGTTATTGCAACTATGTTTTCACACTTTTATATAGGGTCTCCACTAGAACATTACCTTTGCCTAATAAAAGGCATTCCTTGTGAACTTTCCAATAGATTGTATTTCAATTTAGCAAAAAATACTCTTTGACCTACAGCCACTTCATCGCATTCTTGATGCACACCAGTCTTGCACCCTCATGCACCTTTCTCAAATTGCACCTCTTATGCACCCTTCCTTGCCCCCTCCCTGACCCAAACCCAAACTTAGTGACAGAAATTCCAATTGCAATTGCCATTGTAAGTCATTGTAAGACAATGGAATTGTAAGGTGGATGATACAGTAGTTATTGTGCACCTTTTAGGATGGGCTACTAATAGAAAAAGAAACGGCAAACAATAATATTTTCATCACATTAGGCAAAGGCCCATTCCCCTTGAGAAGCCAATAACAAAGCAGAAGGAAAGAGAAAAAGAGGATGACAGTCACATGAATGGGTTCAATTATAGTGGAATTGGATGAATTACTGAAAGGCTAGGTTGGGAGGGATCCACCTGGAGAAACTCTATGTGCTCACTAGGACTAACATTGATGTGATTGCACATAATCAATCAATCAACAAAACAATTAAATAAATAAATCAAGGTATCTGAATACACTCCTCTGAATGTGACAATAAAATAAATAAAATGAATTATTATTACCTCTCCAGATAGGCCAATAGTTTCTTCAATTGTTCCACACTGACCACCTAATCCATTCTGCAATCGCTCCAGGAGTTCCAACAAAGCAAAGTTTTTTTTCAATCCCCACACCCCAGAATCACCTATTTGAGGGGAAAAGGCAGAAATCACCATATGTTGTCACTGAAATATGGTCCTGTATTTTTATTTATTTAATCACTTTACATGGTCATCAATCTTGTAAAGCAACTCTAGTTGGCTATCATTAGTTTAAAAACTCAATACAAAAAAAACAAAAAACAAATGGCAACTGAGAACAACACAAACCATCAATAAATGAATTGTTTCAAATACAATTATTTCCCATCAACCAGCATCAGTAATAGTGAAATCAATGCTTCGTCACATATTTTCCATCCTGGACCAAAATATACTTTGCATAGTCTTGTAGGCCTAGCATCTTGGATTCTTACTAAAACTTTGATTCATTCTGATCCAAACAATAGGCAAAAATGAAGCTCCTTGGATTTTCATTAATTCAGCTTAGCACATGCAATACAGGTAATCCTCATCTTACAATTGATTTCACAGGTACTTGGGTCAACAGATTGGCCCAAGGTCACCCAGCTGGCTTTTATGGCTAATATATACACCCACATATGCATGAATCTATATAATCTGAATAAAATAGTTGAGTTCAACTTACTCTTCCACTTACTAAACAGCAAAATCTTAAACCATGTATCAAGGTTTAGAAATACCATACCTAGTTCAGTAACTTGTCGATCAAAAGGACATCGAACTGCTCTGCCATGGAGAGGAAGTCGAGTAAGACAGTCATGACAGACAGTATGACCACATAAAAGAAGTCTGGGAACTTTGTCTCCTTGCAATGAAAATACATCTTCACAGACTCCACATTCCAAAACCTATAATTAACAGAAGAGAATTGGACGTAATTAAATGGAAGGGGAAAAAAGTTCAATTCTGAATGATTAAGGCTATGTATGTGGTTTAAACTGATGCAATTAAGAGTGGAAAATGAAGACATCACCAATTTCCTCTTAGTTTAGATGATATAATTCAATCTCAACCTGCAACAATTCTGTACATCAATCAGTCTGGGTGATAGAGTTTACACCTCACGTCCTAGAGCATATCAGATCAGCAGATTTGGTTCAAGTGTTTTTTTCAACCACCTTACACTGAGAATCCATGTCTTTTCGGAGGCAAGTTTACATGGGGCTTAGTCCGAGGTGAGACAGTATACTGTATATATGATTGCAATTACTAGTCTCAGTTCACTTTTCCTTTAACCCAAAAGAACAACCTAAGATACATCTTTTTTAAAAAGAGAGATATAAATATACTGCCTTTTGGAGTGGAATAATATCTAGGTTTTAATGATTGTTATTCTATAAAGAGAAAAACCTCAAACTCAAACCTCAAGTTTTTCTCTCTTCATATATTCATAGTTCTAATGACTTGAGAGGAGGACTATATTTATTACATTTGTGAGGGGAAAGACATTTTCAAGAATTACATGCCAAGAATAATTCCATCTGAAAAGGGCTGATTGTTTTACTGTCTCCATCACTCCATTTTCCTGAAGCGTTTCACTCATTTAAATTGTATCCAATATGTCATCCTGAAAGCACAGGATTCCCACTCCCTGGCGGCAAGAATACTTATTCTTTTTCCTATGAAGAAAATATTTATTTATTTATTTATTTATTAATTAATTATTTTTTTATTTATTGGTTTGATTTATATGCCGCCCTTCTCCAGAGACTCAGGGCGGCTTACAATGCGTTAAGCAATAGCCTTCATACTTTTGTATATACCTGCTTAGTAGGGCTTTCGGTCCCCCCTAAGCGGTGTTCTTTTTTTTTTATATACAAAGTCAGCTTATTGCCCCCACAATTTGGGTCCTCATTTTATCTACCTTGAAAGGATGGAAGGCTGAGTCAACCTTGAGCCTGGTGAGATTTGAACTTGCAGTAATTGCAGGCAGCTGGTGCTATTTAACTGCACTTTAGACTGCTGTGCCACCAAGGCTCTTATGAAGAACCGATGAAGCTTCTTGGATGAGAAGCAACATGTCTTCTTCTTTAAGGAAAAAAAAACACATAGTCCAGTTATTTGCCTTTTCAAAAAGCACCTTATGAGACAACCATGTTGATTGAGAATCTCCATAAGACATATGAGGAAAATATAAATATAAAAACATCCGTGGGAAATTACTTTAAAGCACTCGTTTTTATCAAGATGGGAGAAAGAAGGTGAATTAATCTGATTTGATGGCATAGACAAGGCGGGGCATCATAATTACACCCCCCTCCCTTTTGCTTCAACACCGCCTGCGAGAATCTGCCCAGAGAATTTCCAGTGATTCTCGGGGGATGCTAAAGAGAGGGGGGGGAAAGAGAGGGGTGAAAGGACGGATCCTCTCGGTTTTCCATCGCTCGATCCCTGCAGAAGCCAAAATCAAGGACCCGCCCTCTCAGGTTCACTGTCCTCACCTTCACGACAGGCCCCGCCGGACTTCGGCTGTGCCTGTTCCCGGCATCCATCCCAGCGCCAGACCCGATTTTGTTTACACTTAGTGTTGCCATCTTGGACAAGGAAGGAGAACGCCCGAGAGAAAGTGGACTCCACTAGGGAACCTACAGCGGAGGTCCCCCTGGAGACAGAGGAGGGGTAGGAATGCGCGAAAACGTCACTAAAGAGAGACGGAGGCAGGCCTACTATGGAGACGTAAAAAAAAAGGCGTTTAACTTGGGCCTATGGGCTTCTTACCACTACGCATGTCTGTTTCTTCTCAGGACGCTACGGAACGCCATAATAAATCGTCAAGCTTCACCGGGAACTACAACTACCAGAATGCATTGTTTTGATAATCCGTGTTGCTGTCGGTAGCAATAAAAAACCAACAACATTCGAGCCTATGGAAGGCGAACGGCGCGACATATCGCAAGGCTCGTTGGGAATTGTAGTTTCGGAAGAAACTACGGTAGTGATCTGTCTTCCGCGAAACGCTATTGACTGAAAATAGCGGGCCTGAAGCAGGCGGATATTTTTTTCTTTTTAAATAAGAGTGGATAGGGAGTGATGCGGCGACGGCCCATTTCTAATCTTGACTGAAGAAGAGAAAGCCCAAGTGGCGTGGCTGAGGCAATGGATGTGACCCAAGCCAAGCAAGAACATCTCTTGGCCTTGAAAGGTACTGCTAGGTTTTTGACTCCTTGCTACTGCTATGCTACTTGCCGCACCTGGTGCTCGTCGTGCTCTGATTTTCATCTGGTTTAGGGGAGAAAGGGCTAAGTTTGGTAGGATAACCGGTGTCCCACAAATGCGGGGTCGGTTTTTCTCTTGTGGGGCGCAAGGGCAGAAAAAGTAACGCCCTTCTTCCCACTTTTGGTGATACCTTATTCCCAGTCTTAATCTTTATTTATTGATTAGCCCTTGGGCCATATCAAAGTGCAGAGCTCCAGAAACAATTATTACAAAAATTTAGTAAAAACAATTTAAAATGAAATTGGAATAGGAATAAAACACGATTTAAATGTGTTCATTTTAAATTTCATTTAAAATGAAATTAGAGTAAAATACAATCTAAAATGAAATCAGAATAGAATACAATAATTTGAGATACAAATTAAATATGATTAAGATTATATTACAATGTCACCCCTGCAGCTACCCAATCAGCCTTAAAACTACTATTAGAATTACATTAAGTCAAATGCTCTTTCCTGCACCCATTCTGCTGCACCAACTTTGCCCTTTTTTCCATCAATTTTATAGCAAATTTGGCTATCCATTTACCAGCTGCAAGTTAGAACCTATCTCTTATTCAGGGCGGACGGTTGAGTGGGGGCAGGGATGATTGGGTAAAAATGGGGAGGTGTGTGAGGGGCAATTCATTAACCTTATTTCCTCCCCTCCCTCCAATTTGGTCAGTGGGAAGGATCATTCTTCCTATGTGGCTGTGCAAAGGAGGCAGAAGTTGGCTCCTGGTGCTTCTTCTCATTTTAGCCATAACAGGAACAACAAGTCTGATGAGCAATTATACTATGGTTAGTTTATGAAAATAAACCCAGCAATTTTGTATCTTCTTGGTTGGTTCTCCTGATAAATTATCTTTTTAGGGGTTGTGGATAACAAATCCCAAATAAAGAACTTCATAACTCTGTTCTATAAAGCAAATGTAGATAGTTCTTAACCTACAACCTTTCATTTAGCGACTGCCCTGGGGAAAAGCGATGTATGACCATATTTCACACTTACTACCATTGCAGCATCCCCATGGTCATGTGATCAAAATTTGGTCACTTGGCAACTGGCTCATATTTATGACGGTTGCAATGTCCCGGGTCATGTGATTTTGCAACCTTCTGACAAACGGAGTCAATGGGGAAACCAGATTCACTTTACAGCCATGTTACTAACTGAAAACTGCAAGAAAGGTTGTAAAATTGAGCAAAATTCACTAAACAATTATCTCACTTAGCAATAGAAATTGTAGTCATAAATCAAAAACTATCTATATTAAACAGTTGCTTTCTGCAATACGACTTCACTCTTTCATCAAGCTTTGTACCGGAATAGAATTATATATGTTAACTTATGGATATTTCCCCAGCTTACTATTCTTAAAGAAAACAAAATGCTTTTATTGTTTTGAAATGCATAATTATTTGTTTATGTTAGCATTAAAATAATATATATTATTAATATGTGGTGTTAATATTACTATTATTACAGTAGTAGAACTAAGCTGTATTAATACAAAAATATTTTTATACATAGACATTTTTCTTTAAAATTATTACACCTTGCAGAGTATCCTACTCAGAAGGCAGTTTCCTGATGGGAAAACAGTATAACTTGGGATGACAAAAAGGCTTATGTGGGGCCCATGTATGGAAAAATTAGTTCCTTATTCGTGTATATTCTTTTCATTCACATTTTATATGCATGAAAATAGAAGTTTTCTGCTGCTTTTTTGATGATGAGCATACCTGATACAATGGTAATAGTTTTAGTGAGTTTAAATAATAAGTTTGGGGAGATTATGGGAAAAATTATTTAAATGCCTCTTTTAAATGCCTATTTTCAGTTTATTGAAAATTTAAGGTTTAAGGCTACAATCACTTTTAAAGGATTGTTGCCTCTAAAATCCTTCTATTCAAAAGCTAAGATAATTTATACTGAATCTTTTCAGAAATGTGGAAATATGTTGTATTTTTTTAGTGTGCCTGTACTAATGCTTAAAGCAGCTTGTCTAGCTTGTTTTTAGATGTTCTGGAACTATGACTCCCAGAATTCAAAGCCAGCATTAATAGAAAATCGGGGAATTCTCCCAGGTTAGAGGAGAGTGGCATAGAGAAGATATATATAGGGAAATTGTATGGCATAAAACTTAGTTTCACATAATATGTTTTGATTAACATAATGTATATATCCAGATACTGTATTGTTTTGATCATCCAGGAAATATCTGAACATTGAAAACAAAAGATACTATAGTTCCAACTCATTTGTTTCATATTGGTAACATAGAAACTCTTCTAATTTCAATGACAATAATAGAACTGGGAAGAAGCTGTTAATAAAACTGAGGGTGTCGTATACCATTTGAGGTATTTTTCCAAAAAGTATGTATTTACGGTAAATTAAATTAGTACAGTATTGACTAACAAAATCTCGGTGAATTTGATGGTAAAGTTGTTAGAGTATCTTATTACTTCTACTCTAGGTCCTGTTCTCAGCTGCACAGCACACAGAATAAGATTCTTTTGAGCAATAACATCTTGTTTGTTGAGACACGCCTGCCCAGAAAACTTTTAAAATAAGACATGGATTCCCACTGTACAAGGATGGAAATGGTTCTGCACTACCGAGCTCGGGAAAAGGACCCTGCAGCATTACAAAACATTGCAGAAGAAGCCTTGAAGAAATTTCCTAGGCGGCAGCTGCCAGTCTTCATACCCTGGTTTCCAAACACTTCATGTAAATTGCCTGTTAAACCTAAAAATGCTCCTCCAGTTGTTTCTGTTAGAGAAGTAGAACAAGTGAAACGATCTATTGCTACTTCAGAAACTATTTGCAATGCTTCCTTATGTTATAACAGTGCAGAAAGGCTTAAGGAATTTCAACCCAATATAAAAGCTGAACAGACTTTACACATTGAGCATGAAGAAACTGACTTGATCAATTTGGGAAAGCCATCAGGACACGGCAGAGGCAAGCTAAGGAGAACTTGGAGTGTTTCTCTACCCAGCTCCAAACTTAAAGACAGCATTCTTCCTTTATCTCTAGAATTGCAGAGAACTTTAAAAAAATTAAAGCTGCATGTATTCTATAGAGCGTGGTGGATAATAGAACCATCTATTTGTAACAACCAAGTTTTGGAAGACATTTGGATAAATCTTAATGGCATGATCAAACACAATGAACTTCCATCTTGTAACGCTACAATCCAGAGACATGAAAACCAGATTTTGATTTTTTGTGATATATTATACTGTGAACATGTTGCAAACAGCCTTAGAAAAAAATTAAACATTAAGGGAAAGATGAATCTGCTTGTTCACAAATATGGGATTATACATAGTTTCTAGTTTTTAACTAAAGCAAGGCCATATGCCACTTGGGGTCTGATAAACCAAAATATTTGCTGCTCTATATTTGCCAAACACATTCTTCCACTCACCCCTCTTCCCAACAAAGGACTAAACAGTAGGTAGCATTTACAGATGGTTAGTTGAGTATTAGGCGCAAAGTGATCTATTTCTTCTATTCCCTATGAAGCTAAAATCTAAATCCTGACTGTTTGTGCAGGCAACAAGCAAGGCTGTCTTTTTAAATATAATGCTAAATGAACTACAAATGGAATTTATGGATTTATTAGCTGTGCCTTCTGGCAGGATAAGTCAAGCAGAAGTAATCATGAAGCATGTGCTTGTATAAACCACTTTAATATTACATTTGGTGAATCATACTTTCTTATAAATGATAACAGACAAATACAAGACTGTTTATATTAAATGTTTCTAGTTAGTTCTGTAGGACTAAAAATATCAATATTTTTTTGAGTGCTAGAAATCCTTATTGTAGTCCCTCACATCATTTCTGAATTTACTGTTTAATTAAATGATTTTCTTAATATGATTCAGTCCATATGGTCAAGTGGTAATAAAACATATTTGCAAATGAATTGATTTCTACAAGATGTATTGTACTATAAGTTTTCCAAAGATACACAATTATTTCAGAAGAAGTCATTTGGAAGAATTATTCTGCATGTGAATAATTATGTTTAGAATCTTTGTTACTAGATCATTAAAATATTTGTGTATAAATATTAAATAATAAATACAAAAGCTATTTGTATCAATATTTCTGAGTTTTTAAAAAATTGTAATATATTTGATCCCAGCATTGGATTATTATTACAGTACTGTTAGGATAAGTAAGTATAGGCAATGAAGCTGGCAGTAAATTGAGAGAGGACAGAGTTACATGCTGTGAGGCCTTATTTAAGTTTCCTTGAATGTTCATTTTGAATTCTGCCTCAATTTATTGAACATTAGTATGCTTCCTCTTCCTTGGTCCAAGCATGTGCTGATCTTTTTTTATAAAATGTACAATTTGTTTGAATGAATAATTCATTGCAATTTAAAATACAAACTAACATGATATATAACACAGATTAATAAATAAAATGATTGTAATAGAAT